AAAGTTTCTGATACAGGTCTACATGTTCTTTTTTATTTCTCCAGAAAATATCACATTTTTCTGATGAGGCCAGAGGAGGGAGAAATTAGTCTGTATAGTTCATGATCAATTACACTTAAAGGCATTTCTTTTTTGGAAGAAATTCACAGCAGTCTGAAAACCTGCTTTCATAAAGGTGCCTAAATGTTCAAAGAACCTCTCCCAGCCTTTGTCTGATGAGTTACTACAAGGTTTAATTCAAAGCTCATTGCTGCTAATGAAAGCTCTTCTGTGGACTTTAATGCTTGCTGGGTTGACTTCATGGGTCTCACTGGCATCATATGAAGAAATTTAAATTGTTCACGTCAATGATCTTTGTTGTTAATTCATATCATGATATGCAGCAAATGCAATGCATAAACCCCTTAACACATTTTTATTTTTTTTTCCTAGTATGGAAAAATCATAGAATGGTTTGGGTTGGAAGGGACTTTAAGCTCATCCATTTCCAAACCCCTGCCATGGGCAGGGATTCCTTCCACTAGCCCCATCCAACCTGGTCTTGGACACTTCCAGGGATGGGGCAACCACAGCTTCTCTGGGCAACCTGTGCCAGTGCGTCACCACCCTCACATGGAAGAATTCCTTCCTAATATCCCATCTAAACCTACTCTCTGGCAATGGGAAGCCATTACCCCTTGTCCTGTCTCTCCAGGCCCCTGTAAATAGTACAAGGGGTTGAGACACATATCCTCAACCTAAAATAGCTGGGTATGAAATAGCATCCTTTGCATTCTTTCACAACCAAACAAGAGCAGCAAAGTAAGGTAGTTTCCCAGTTTCTATCATCAAGAGATGATATGTCAAATATCCAATGTGCCAAAGTTTGACAATGAAATAAATTTGATGGGTTTATTGTTGGTGGTGATTTGTGTTACATTTGTTTGTTTGTTTGTTTTGGTGTTTGTTTTTTTAGGGCGTGGGTGGGTTTGGAAGTCTTATTTCACCAAATGAGAAACTCAGTGCCTGTGTCACCACTGCCCCTTTCTTCTACCTTCTGTCTTTTGAATATTTTCAATTTACCTTGATCTTTATTTTCAGTACAATATGTAAATATGTCTATGTTTAAGAATAACTTATATGTACAGTGGGGAAATACCTGGATTAGGATCTTCCCCATATGAATTAAAAATTTTATTAAGAAAATATATATCCTGTAGACTTGCTTTGGGAACAATTCTTCCTACCAAGTCATAAATCCATGATCTCCTGAACATGTTTGCCAGAACACTTGTCATCATATCTTTAAATCTCTGCAAAAATTGTATGAACTTACATTATGTCTTTTGAACAGTGTGAGGACATTTTTCAGCCTAAGAAAATGATTTTTTTGGTACCTAATTACACAAAATGTTGTTGTGTTTAAGTAAGCATAAGCAGGACTAAAGGTGCATTGCTAAAAATATTAATTCCTAAAGTATCTCCTCTCTGATTTTGAAGCCTACACCTGCAGTATGGTGTGTGCTGCTTAATGGCTAGCACTGCAAAGGGAAAAGCCTAATTTAGACCTATCTGGGAAGCTCCAGAACAATTTATTTCTTTGACTGTGCTAATAATATTGCATTGCTCATCTTCACTGGTCTCTAAATTTCTGTAAACTTGGAGCTCTTTTGGGATGAAGCAGGAGTCTGCCTATTAGTGTCTTCTCCTTCTGGCTGTTCTTCCAGCTTATCTTTCCATGAGATTTGACATATTTCTATCTCTATCCAGACCAACAAGCTCCCTGCTGTATAATTTCTTAGCAATTGTCTGAACACACTCTCAATTTCATTAGTGTCATTTTAAGGGGCTCCAGACATCCTCAGACAAGGCAGGACTTCAGTCCTCTAATTTTTAAACATTCAGTATCAGTGAGTTATATTTTCCTATTGCAAGTGAACAAAAGAAACATGAGAGTTATGGACACCTGTTTGTGATCCGTAACTAAAATAAACTTCTTCTTATTGAGATCCATTGAAGCCTTAGAGGTAAATTTTTATTCCCCCAAAAGAATCCAGACAGAAGTGGTGTAGAAAACTGCAGACTTGCTGCTCATAAGACTGCTGTTTGAGACTTTCTACTGCTTTTGTGAGTGAACCCTGAAGGCGGAAACCTGACAAATTTTGAAATGCCACATTAGTACTAGTGTGATGCAATGCCATAACACAAGTTCACTAGTAGTGAAATACAGTGGTTCTAAAAGTCTCATTTTTTTCCTCTGAAACTAACAAAGTCATGATCAAGAGTAATTTTTCTAGTTTCATTTTGAAATGTTAACGACTATTCAAGTATGACCTTCCCTCCCCCTACCTCCCAGTACTAACACCCCTATTTATTTTAATGTTATACCTTTATCTTTAGCAAATAAAATGCTGCCTTTATGTGAAGTGCTGCCTAAATGTGCCTTTACTTATGGAAGAAGTGAGGATGAGAAAAGAAATTAAATTATGCTGTAGATTTTGATGTAAATTATATTAATAAACAGCTAAACAGTGTTATGATGCTTTGTGTGAACAAACCCCCAGATCCTGGTTTTCAAAAGTTTGGAGAAGCTTAAGTGCTATGAAAATCAAAACTTTATTTAGGGGCTTGACTGAAGTTTCACTGCCTTTGGCAGCCTGACACTGAGTGCTGGTGATATGTCAGAATATCAAGCCAGTTATAAACACTTTGATACTCTCACCTTACCGTGTGATAGTGTTCACTGGTTGTAATGACTGCTGGAAAATCTTCTTTCTTGGAAATCAGTTGCTACAGGAAAGCAATTACCACAAGTAGATGGAGTCATTTAGCACAAAGGGATGGCAGTGTTTCAGCTGTAACATGCTGGATGATGCAATTCCATGACACATGCTGCTTATTACTCTACACCACTAAATATCCCCATACCATGTAATAGACCTGTGTGGTATGGGAGCTGTTGTTATCCAGATCAGGATGATGAAACAGGGGTCCCTGCCCTGGTGTTTGTATCTCCTCCTCCTGGTATTTCTCATTGTTGCTTTAAAAGGGACCATATGTTATATCTTCATTGTTTTAAATGTGCTGACAATTGAACAGAGGATACAGGGTTCTGATTACAATGTGTTTTGCTGGAATTTTTTACTTGGGCAAACTCTAGAACCTGTAGCATAAGACAAATCCCTAATATCAAATTAAATAGCACACCTAGTGTAGATATGCTAACTTATATTCTATTATACTATATGATTTAATCAGAAATATGACTTCAAGTGTGTCGGGAAGGTTTTTTATTACTCAGTCCCACTGGTCTGAGTCTTTGCTCTTTTGATGAGCATCCCACAGTTTCAACAACAACTGGCCTGTGGATGATTTCTCAGCCAAGCATTACAGAAATTAGAGAGAGGCCTTAAGTGTACATTTAAAAGCACAAGCTAAAGTAAAATCTACAGCAGTTTAATTGTCTTGCTGTTCTTATGTCAAATTTTCTGCCTAGTGGTACAATCTGTTTCTTAAACTAAAGAGTTTTAGTGCAAAATGTAGGTTAGTCCTGAGAGGTAAACAGTGCTCATTTGTCAGGCAAATGCGATTCATGGTCTGAATAGCTATTTTGGATTGAGTTGTGATGTTGTATAGTGCTTTCATCAAACACAGAGTGCTTTGTTTGTTTTTTTTTTTTTTTTTTAAATTTTCCTTCTTCCAAGTTAAATCTTTTGACTTCATTAATTTTATCCTTGATGGCCTGTAGTTTCCAGCAAGAATTGTACTGATACTCTGACAAATACCACTGTGACACTATTTTGTGTTAGGATAATTGCTACCTCTCCACCAATTATTCAGACAGAATGAGCCTTACTGCAATCACTTTTCCATCAAACTCCAGTTGGAAACTATAAACTTGCTACAGTGATCTGCACTTTGGTGTTACTTTACCACAGTTTAGACCTACACCTCTACAAAGCTCTTCAGAAAAAATGCAACTATTTTGTTAAGTGTATAAAAGACAGTGAAGTATGGTTGATTAATTCTACTTAGCAAGCCAAGTGTTGAAGTTAAAAATAAATTTATATAGGTAATAAATATTTTATATATATTTGTCATAGAATTATAATATTATTTAGGGTGGAAAAGACCTATTTTGTTATATATATAGTTTTTATGTATATTTGTATTATTATATATATTTATATTTTCTTAGGAACTGCTAGAGTTGGATGATTTGAAACTTCTGAAACATATGAATTCTTCAACAAATATTATTCAAATATGAACACTCTCTGCCACTGCATTTTCATAGCTCTTGATTTTTTATGCAACTTTGCTAATCTATAGAAATTATGTTTGTTAGTCATATCTCAATTCTTGATCAGTTGCAGCTCACAACTGATGTAATAAATCAAGCTGGTAAAGAACATTCAATCAGCTATGTCACAACATTTCTCCAGATACATCAAGATACCAAGATACATTGCACCAGGTGTGCTTTTTTGAAGGTGAGTGGTGAAATGAACACTGAGCTTTATTTTCTGCCTGATCTCCAGTAGGTGCAGTTTCAGTCTGAGGTATGCTTGAAATGGCTGGATGTGACTCAGATAAAATTATGCCAAATAAATTCAGCAGTCCTGTGACTCAGAGGGGTTTTTCCCAGATTTTCAGGCCATTGCAAGAAGGGTACATTGCTGAATGGATAGACTTCACCTCTCCCTGCATGGGTGCTTTGGTTTTGGAGGGTTTTTTCACACTTTTAGGTAGCCTTAAAATGCAGGCAACACAAAAACTGTAGCTAGAGTTCCTAGAAGTGTTTAAACATTGAATTTTAGTTGTGAGACTTTTTCAGACAGCTGTGCCAAGTGATTATTCCATTGTGACATCACTGGGTAGTGGAGGGTGACATCAGCTGGTGCATTGAGACATCACTGGGAGGTGGACTGTGACCTCACGTCCCTCGTTCTCTGTAAGTTCATATTGAGACTGGGGTCTCTATGAATTCCTGAGCTGGGACACTGCAGAAAGGAGCAGCCATGGCCTCAGGGAGGGAGTGGAGCTGCCCCATCTGCTGCAATGCCCTGGATAACGTTGCCTACTCGATGCCCTGTCGCCACCAGTTCTGTCTGGGCTGCATAATGCGCTGGCTGCGAGGGAACCGCGCCTGCCCACTCTGCAGAAGACCAATCTCCACCATCAGCTTCTCGGAGCAGGAGGGAAACTGCCTGCACTGTGTCACCAGACTCTCCAGAGAGCCACCCGAGGCCAGCAGCAGCCAGGCAGGGAGTGTAAACACCCATGGTCCTGGGCAGGGGCCTGCAGGGCCAGAGGCTGTGGGTGGCATCCTGCCTGAGCTCTGGGCAGAGCTTTTCCGGAGGCGATGGACCCTCTTGGATCCCGTGCGGTCCTGGCTGCAGCAGAGGCTGGAGAAGATATACAGGGACAAGTGGTGGCAGGTAAAGACTGCAGAAAGCAGTGTCCTGCTCGCCCTCTGCATCTTCGGGCCGAACAGGGATGGGCTGGTGCAGAGGCTGCAGCCTCGCCTTCAGGAACACACCGCCCCGCTGATCCACGGCATCCTCAGCATCATTGAGACCCAGTGCAGCCAGGAGGTCTGGAGGCTGCGCCACTCCCATGCTGCCAGGGAGGAGGATGAGAGCCCTGGGGACAGCTCTGTCTTCCAGGGGTGCGCTCCCACCTCCAGTGGCCCCCCACATTCCAGGGTCGAGGAGGTAGCCAGCATGTCAGAGGATGCTCTCCAGGGGAGTCCCATCTGGCCCCCATCTGCACCTGTTCCTGCTGAGTGGGAGCAGCCCTAGAAAGGACTGGAAGATGTGACAGTGGCCCTAGGTCTAGTATGGGCAGGGACCACTCACCCATGACACCCCAGTGACACCGAAATTGGAGGGTCTCTGGGCACAGCCAACAGCACCAAGTCTTGGTACTTGGCTGTAGTACGTCTTTAGTCAAGAAGATGAAAATAAATATCTAAATGTTCCTTGACACAATCTCTGGGTGTTGCTTCTGTTACCAAGTCATCCAAAATCATTGGGATAAAGAAAACCCTCTAATACTGTATTTTTAGTGTGGTGAGTGAGGAATTACTTTACTCTTACTTGGGAGGTGTGTGACTGACAAATTCCCAGTCTCCACACAGAAGCTGAATCAAAACTTTTCCACCTATTTATACAGTATTAGCAAAAAATTTAATGTTCTTTTGGTTCTAAATTACATAATTCTTTCATTAATTATATCCAATCCTCTATTGGTTATTGATTTCTCACTGTGTACGTAAATTACTACATATTTGTAAATTTGTAAAATGCTCCATATTTTTAGTATCTTTTTCCTCCAGTAGGGACTGTCCAACATGTATACCGAGTCTTAATCTCTTCTGTATCTTCTGGTTTCTGCAAATTGTCCTTGTGATCCATAAATTCTGCATTCCACAAGTCCAACTTCAAGAATACATCTTTATCTCTCTGGCTTTGTTCATTGAAGAAGATCACAGTTAGTTTATCAAAACTTAAAGTTTGAGTGATTTTACCAAGCTGTGTTCCCACAAGAATAGCTTGTGACAACCTTGCTAAATGCTAGCTAAGAGTAACTTAAGAATAATTATTTATAATTAATAAATACTTATATTTATACACACTATAATTAATATATATTGGGCATGATTAATTAAACGCTGGATGGCATTCAGAGACAGGGGAAGGGTTTGCATCCTATGTAAAGATTTCTCTTATATTTTCAGCTGTCTCTATTGGAATACAATGTGTTTTATTGTCTAGTTACTAAACATTAAAAAAAATTAAGAAACAACAACAAAAAACAAAAAAAAAAAAAAAAAAAAAAAAAAAAAAAAAACACAAGTAAAAGAGGTAAGTGATGAGGAAGCAAAAAACCCGATCTTTGAAAATACATTATTTTTGCATCTGCTGGGGACCCCAGTTCTCTGTGTGTGTTTTTTCTCTGCTGGTTTCCTTTACAAAATATCAGTTATGTAGCTTCAGGCCTACAGTTTTTCTCCTCTAAACTGTTTTTTTTTTTTTTTTTACTTATATTCTAAGTTGGGAGAAATGAGTTATGTAAGGAAAAGTTCAAATGAAGACTAGCTTCTTTGAAGTTCAGCAAATAGCTTCATATAACATTAAATACTGTCAATCAAAACCTTCTTCTGTGGTATATTCTCACTGTGGTGATGCATTTAAAAGCAGGTTTAGTGTCCTACCACAGCAAGACAACTATTACAGTATTTCTTCAGCTGATTAAATGGATTACTTTTGAATATATGAATGCTACAAGGAGTTGCCCTTTGGTGCCTTCTAAAAATTTCTTCTATATTCTACACTATTTTTGTATATTCTAAAGCAAAAGAGCTTAATTTAAATGTTGGCAAATTCAGCAATTTGTGAGCTCTACTCTGAGAAGGATCTTGTAACCAAAATTGGCTTTCTAAATCAACATGTCTATTTACCAAAAACAAACAAACAAGAGAGCCCCCAAACCTTAAAAATGGTCATTAAGAAATGGTAGGGTGTCTGCTCTTGTTTTCTTCTCCAAATAATTTTTCTTCTTTAATTTCTTTATCATCTGCCTAAGAACTGCAGTTTCTATCCAGCTTAGCCAACCTAAAATGGCAACTGCTGAATGAAAAAATTGAGGTCTTTCGAGAAATTAAGATAAAAACTTGTCAGTAACCACACAAAAACAATAGGAAGAAACCAATTCATTAACATGGGAAGTTCAAGGCATATTTGGGATAATCTGCCATCATGTGATAAAAATCCTCTTCTCCAAGTGGAAAAGCAGAGGCAGTGGTATTATTTCTCTCTGACATTTTGGGAGCAGAAGTTGTACCTAAGCCACCAGAGCAATATAGGTCTTAGAACTGATGGGTGAAAAGTATTTTTATTTCAGTTTTTCCAGAAGTGTCCTCTACACTCGAGTCCCTGCCTTTATAACTTGGGAGGATCAAGTGGTCCTCCTACCATGTCTGTTTAAGAAATGATATGCCACTGGAAGATTGGGCAAACTTCACAGGCATGTTTGGTAAAAAGCAGAACTTAACAACACCTGCCTGTTGCCAGAATTATCATCAATATTACAGACATGTCTACAAGACTCTGCAAGAGACTTAGAGCTTTTCATACTCACTTACTCATTATTTTTCTCATGATGTTTTAAAAATAAAAGGCATCTTTCAATCTCTTTATGCAGGCCATTTAAAGACTGTATTGAGAAGAAGTCATTAAATTCTGTGAACCTTGATTTTTATGTGTATTCCATGCAGAACACCTGAAATTAAATTTTAAGTAGTATTTACTGAGAAGTGGTAAATTCAAATCTTAGCACTGGCATTATTAAGGCAGATGAATAAGCTTTTTATAGGTCCCTTTGAAATCTGAAAATGAACTTGTCTGCTCATAGAGTCTTGCCTTGGTCAAATATACGGCTCTTATTAAAGACATATTCTAATACATATACTTTTATTACCCATATGTCCACAGGAAGAGATTGAAAGATGAAACCATGTACTGCCTCCATAAAATCCTGCTTGAATAGGGTTGAACAGTTAAAATGAACATTTTTATTAATCCTCAAATATGAAGCATTTGTGAAGATGGCCTAAGTAAGAATTTATTAAAGGCATTAACACAACCATCATATCATTACAATAAACTGAGAGAGCTCCAGAATTTATCCAGTTTCCTCTGTGTCCGGACAAATGGGCAGAGCTGCTAACACAAGATGTGTGGAAGGAGAAAGAGTTGTTATCAAATGATGCCACTGAAACATATTTAGTAAGACCTTCCCACTGAGACCTAAATCTCTGTACTCACTGTCCTTCTTCTAGACAAGTCAATTTTCCAGTAACTTTATGCCTGTGTGGGCATGTCCCTGACTTTTCCCAGCAAACTGAACCCAATACAATATGATTTTTTTTTATTTAATCCTCTTCAACAGGTCTAAGCAAGACTGTACAGGTGCACAACATACTTGTGCAAGCAGGATAACATAATGCCTCTAAAGGTTAGAAGCCTTAAAAAGTTCCTTACTCTAACTGGGAAAAAATTGTATTAAATCAGTTTTCCATGTTTAATTGTTAGCTTCTTTTAATTACAAGCAGCAAGGAACTTGTATGGGAGTGATGGTCATGCAGGCCTGCAAAGGTGTTTCCAGAAATTAGATTTGTACGAACTGGGAGGGCTCAGTGAATCTACTATTTTTCAGATGCTAGCTGCATAAAATATATTTATCCCTCAGGAAGACTTAAAAAAAAAAAAAGCCTGATGGCAAATATGCTACAAGCTTAACATGTCTTTTATTATTTTTTCCTTCTTCCTCCTTTACTTAAGAACAGCCAAGATTGATTAAAACTAAAGGTTAAGAGCAAATTTTCTCCTATGTCTCTAAAAATACTGAAAGCAAATATCAGGGATAAATTGGATTTCTGGCAACTTTGCATCCTATGAGTTCTTACCTTTTGCTTGGCTTCATATACCTGGTCCAAACAATTTTAAAAAGAGCATTTTGTGACCAAGCGAGACCTCAGCACTGTGCAAAGTCCCTGAATTTTGAAGCATCATCTTCAAAATCCACCTTCTTGATGCTACAGACTAATTGTGATGCTGTTTGACAATTACAGTGGTAGCCTGACGGTGTTGGGAAAAACACAGCTCAATTACCTGAACAGATAAAGATGTTCCTAAAAAGTCTCAGAGAAGACGAATACATTGCATTCATTAAAAAATTCTCAAAAGTGTATTTTAAATATGAACAAAGTATTTATTCGACTCCATGTGATTCCTTTATCTGCTTGTAGGCTCTAGCCTAATTTGAGAGAGGAAGGATAAAGAAAGAACAATCTGAGAAGCAATGATTCATTCAGTTATCATCTAGTCCCTCTTTCTCATGCCCTTGACCTGGCACTACATGCTACTGCACAGATACTGCACCATCTATGTAATCCAATTTTTATGACATGACAGAAACAGTGGATTCTTCTTTTTTTTTTTTTTTCCTCCTTTTTCACCCCCCTCTATAAATATGTATTCATGGCTGAAAATTCTAGATAATATCTTGTCTTGAATTACAAGATTGAACACCCTGAAATGTCAATGGGTTTGGACTATTTTACTGCAGTAATTTTTTTCCTCAGTGTCAATTGCTGATAGACTCTCCAGGTCTTCTAGAGGTGAGTGAATACCTCACAGTCATTTCCTCACCTAACAGTTTTTCTCTCTCACTTCGTGAACTGTTTGCAGGTGAATGAATTACCAAATCAAACAGAAAAATTTGGTGCAGTCCTGTGAGTTAAAATAATTGCAGCTTTTCTGGACTGGAAGGAAGGACTTGTGTAACTCAAGCAATTTATAGTGATTTGGACTTCTAATATAACATAACATAATGTAATATAATAGTATATATATCGTAGTTCTTGGTGGTGATATGCCAAATTCCTGGAGCATCTACCAATGAACCGTAAATATCTTGTTCACTGGATTTGACAGAAAAGGGAAAATTAGACATATGTATTTATTAAATAAATAATATTTACTATGTAGCTGTATTTCAAGGTGTATTTTCTGAAGTTGGGTGGGAGTTGGATGAAACCCCACACCACAAGGTTAAATGCTTAGTTCTCCCCTCCTCCAACATACACAATGGAAAAGAAAAGAGGTCCTATCAAGAAAAGTTGTTCATAGAGTAATAAAAAATGGGACTAGAAATAAAGGTGATCTCATGAGGTCACCTAGTCAAGGTTCTGGCCCCAATTAAAGCTAAACCATTCCTGACAGATATTTGTCTAGCT